ATTAGGAATTTAATGATTCATTAGGCTTAATAACTCATTAAAGTTAATAAACCGTTGATACAACCGAATCCTGAGTTTAATAGATCATGCAATCAATAATCATTGATTACTCAATTTGTTGATGAATTAAATACATTTCAATCATGTAGATGAAACCATAAGGCTGCATTTCATTTCCGGAATTTTTCGTAATTTATCAACTTTTCATTTCCGACATTTTTTTAGTTTTCATTTCCGACAATTTTTTGTTTTCATTTCCGACATTTTTCAGATAGTACCTTTAGTAGCAGATTTGAAGACTTTACCCATATATGAAAAATTTAAAGGAATAACTCATAAATTAATCATTGAAATCCAATTTCTGTGATTTTTTAATCTATCAATGAAGCGACTGTGAATAATAATTTTCCCCTGACATTTAATTTAGTGCACATTAAATGTGGTAAAACTTTACGTTCATTGAACTCTAGATCTTGTACCTAGACTATATGCTACAAGTGCTATATGTTTACATTTATTCATGGATTTTTATAATTTTTTTGCAATAAATACTTTTAAATTTATTTATATTCCATTTTCACTTACTTGGAAACATTAAATTGCCGCACAGGTAAATTCCGGAAATGAAAAAATAATTATGTCGGAAATGAAATAAAAAAAAATGTCGGAAATGAAATAAAATAATGTCGGAAATGCTATGCAGATTTCTGGAAATGAAATGCAGCGAACCATAAGTAGCATTACCCCTTTGAGGTTCCCCCAAAGTTATCTGAACAGCTGTGTTAACTTTGATGGCACTGCCCTTTCTGCCCTCTGCAGACATTCAGCCCGCTTTTGATAGACTATCAGCCAGAGCAACATCCCAGGAACTGCAGCAGCTTGTGGCATACATGTACAGCAACTGGATTGGAAGTGCGGTTTGGCAGCCCAGGAACTGGAGTATCTTCCAGACCAATGTCAGGACAAACAACGATGTAGAAGGTAAGCTAAATATTTGTCTTAAATTATGTGATGGTAATAATATAAGATAAAGCCACATTAAAAAAAGATATTTAAAAAATTCTTAAGAACATATACATGTAATAAAAAATATCTTTGAATATGATTTCTGTATTTTTTAATTTATTTTTGAATTTACATATTTCAGGTTGGCATACCAGGATCAATGCAGACATCGGTAAAGCTAATGCCGCCTTCTACATCCTTGTGCCTGCTCTTCAGCGTGAGGCGCGATTGGTGGACTTGACTGTCCGACTTGTGTCAGAGGAACAGATCCTCCGTTGCCAACGTAGGAGGTACCAGGACCTCACTTGCCGGCTACACGAAGCTTGGGACCGTTATACCAACGGAGAGCTCACAGCATCCCAACTGTTGCGGGAGTGTGGTGGTGTATACGGCCCAAACAACGACTAGTTCTTTGGTGTTGTGCTTGTGATTGTGCCATGTGACATGTGTAAATATGTGTTAACAAACAATGAATAGTTCTATAGTGTTGTGATCGTGACTCCCAGTGTTGACTGTGTGATATTTACACCAGTAACAATTATTTGATACAGCTTTAAACGTTGACCATATAATGTGCTTGCTTTATTTATTTGGTTTCAAACTTTGTTTGCAATGAAAATAAATTAATTGAAACACACTTTTTTGTTAGTTTTTCTTCATTACAATTTGAGGCTTTAATAAGGTTTTAAATCTGCCTTTTCAATCAGTGCATAAATATATAAAATTCATGATAACTGCGGTACTACTCTTTTGCATGGCAAATTAATTACGTTTGGAAATATATTTAACAATTAATTTTTACGTCATATTTCAGCAAAAAATATATCTTTTTGCCCTGCAAAAGAGAAGTACCGCAGTTATTGTGAAACGGTCTATAGTTCAAGTCAACAAACTATGCTGCAGCTTCACTACGAAATATACAGAGGCAATTCTGGTTAATGAGAACAATAACAAGGAACACCAACCTGCAACTCTGGCCTAACAAAATAAAATGAGAACAACATTGTTTAAGTAATATAAGGCCTATATAACAGTATAACGCATAAGAAATATACTATAGGGCAACATAACCTTTTATCAATTATCATATGCACCGTCCACTTACTAAGTCTAACGTACGTTATACTACAATTCAACATTTTTAAGGTCAGTATGCCTTCATACTCTTTGGACATCATAAAAAAAAGTCTTCGAAATAAATATAACTTAATTAATTAGTAAAAATAATCCTATGGTCCGAGTTTGTTATAGTCCGACTTCCTTATAGTCCGACTTTGGGTAGTCCTAGTTTGTTATAGTCCGACATTGTTATAGTCCGACATTGTTATGGTCCGACCTATCAGTAAATCGTTTCCTGCCCCGTAATCTCAACGCTAATGGACGAGTTTACCATGTTAAATCCCCGTAGACTTTGAATTTGCCGCCGTGTCAATACACCGGTTGAACTCGAGGGTTCGGATAAATGGAGGAAGTTTGGAAAAAAAATTGATCTATCGATCGAACCTAATTTGAAGACCAAGGTATTTATACATTTTGAGATATGAGGCGAAAAGTGAGGTCCTTGGTACCGTGGGACAGACTATAGTATAATTATTACTTTTAAATACATTTGTATGAACGCTACTTAAATCATTTAAAAACAAAATTTAGAACCAATAAATTTGACATGCTTAAAAAAACTAGTAATTTCAAATATCATTAATGTATCTGCTTATATTATTTTCGGAAAATAATAATAAAAACAAACGTTTGGATAATACTGCGGTAAAAATACCTTGAGACTGCGGATGGTACGGTCTGCCGTTCACCTGGTCTTAAATTCTTCCATTACGGCAGATAAATCAGCGTTATTAAATTCTCTCCCATTGTCTGTTTGTAGAATCCTAGGAGGTCTGAATAAGAAGATAAACCGCAGTAGAACGTCTGACACCTCTTAAGCCGTCTTCTGCTTTAAACAGGCTCCAAAAGCAAACCTGCTGTAACAGTCCACGATGTTACAGATATAATTGTAGCCTCGACATGGTGGCATTTTCTTCAAGTCCATCTGCCATCTGCTGTTTGGGTATGACGCTGGAATAGGCCTTCTCGTCCTCTCTGTTTTCGGCAGATCAACTGCAGCGAGACACTTGCTGCATTCTACATGCTGCTTGAAGAGGAGTCTGATGTTTTCCCGAGTCACGGGAAAGAATGTTTTCCCGATTGTCTCGTAGATGGTGTCACTTTTTCTGTGGTCCACGTTGTGATTCCTCTGAATTTCTATGATCAGCTGATCCTTAGAGAGAACTCGTCTGTGCACCTCGTTTACTTTCGAGCTCCTATAGAAAATACACTCCGTATCAACATCAAATATAAAGTTCGACGCATATTTGCGAATGCTTGTTTCCCCCATCTGGAGACTTAGTTCCTCTTTAATTCTCTTAGCTCCCCATGCTGAATGTTCAGCCTTTAATTTGCATATTTTTTCCACCTCCTCCATGACGGACCAAAACTGCTCCGGACTTGGGTCATTACTCTCCCGCTTTTTCTTAACTTTTTCAAAAATGTAACCATCATCTGGACAGACCGCCGCTTCCATTTTTTGTTGCGTTTTGAAAATCTTAAACAACGACGTTAAGATTGACGTCCGAATGCTATGACGTCATAGACGATTATCGCTTTTCCCGTACCATCGGACTTTGGCGTGTAAGACCATCGCACTTCCGCGCGTTGCTTCTCATGAGAAACGACCCATCGGACTTTGGCGTGACCATCGGACTTTGGCGTCCGTACCGACGCAAAACCATCGGGGTTTGGCGCAGACCATCGGGGTTTGGCGTCAACATCGGACTATATATATATATATATATATATATATATATATATATATATATATATATATATATATATATATATATATATATATATATGTAAGACTCCAAAGTCCGATGGTGACGCCAAAGTCCGATGGTCTGCGCCAGACCCCGATGGTTTGATGTCTGTACGGACGCCAAAGTCCGATGGACACGCCAAAGTCCGATGGGTCGTTTCCTATGAGACGCACTGCGCTAAAGTGCGATGGTCTGACACGCCAAGGTCCGATGGTGCGGAGAAACAATCAACGTTTATGACGTCACAATATTCCGACGTCAATCCTTGACGCCGTTGTCCTGCATTCAAAAGCCATCAGTTCAGTATTCGTCCCCGCATATAATTTTACTGATTTTGCTTATTGCTTGCACCCACCAGAGATATTAGATTAGGGTTAGTCCTCGCACACCACTCGACTGATTAGGGTTAGTCCTTGCTTCGCACCAACCCGAGAGATTTAGGGTTTGTCCTCGCACACTAGTCGAGTGATAAGGGTTAGTCTTGCACTCACCCAAGATATCTAGGTTATAGTTGTTACACACTTTTCGAGCGATTAGGGTTAGTTTCGCAACTATCCGAGAGATTAGGGTTAGTTTTCGCATAATGGTATTTATTTATACTTGGCATGGCGCGGCATTGCAGTTTGGCGCTGTAGTACTATGACGTCACGAACGTCAATCGTTTTTCCGCACCATCGGACTTTGGCGTGTCAAACCATCGTGGTTTGGCGCAGACCATCGGACTTTGGCGTGACCATCGGACATTGGAGTCCCATCGCACTTTGGAGTCCTACATATATATATATATATATATATATATATATATATATATATATATATATATATATATATATATATTATCTCCATTAAAAGACATGCACATCTAGAAATAAATTATGAATGTCTTTGAAGTAGGTTTTCCTGTTTCCTAGTCTCTGTACCAAATCCACAAATGTTACTTTTTTACTTTTTTTCTTTCAAAGTTTGTTTTTCTTGTTGTTTGAAGGAAATATTATTTACTTCAAGAACTTTATAAGACAGAGGTTTCTTAAAAGGACGTTGAAATAAAAAAAAAAGTCACTGTTGCTCCAACATATAAATTTACACCTTGTTTCATCATCAAAGTATTACAACATTTTGTTTCCATAGATTATCTGATGCCTCGGGAAATCTGACATTTAAAGTAGAAAAGACTGGGTCAGTAGCCACATCTGATTTGGACAGAAGGTGAGTCTATGTACACTGAGGATTGCTGTCTAAAATATTTTCTACAGGGAATTTGACATTAAATATTGAGACTTACAGATCTGTCTTTGGTCAGACTAGCTTAACTAACGTTAGTTTGGATGCGTGTAACAATGAGATAAATATATTTCTGTTAACTTTTTTAACGTTAGGATGTGTTTATTGTCGAAACCAAGAAAGCTGTCTACGTTTGGATTGGATTGGAAACCTCTGTTGCTGAAAGAAAGAATGCAATGGCTTATGCCCATGTAAGCAGAACTGTATTGTCAATATGGATAAATAACGCATCTTCATTTACACCAGTCCCACACAAGCTTTTATTAATTATTATTACTGTGTATTTTATCTAATTTTTAATTTTTCTTTAAAATATAATTGTAGATCCTACATATTGTTATGTTGATGATCATTACCATGAACGTTCATTCATAAGATCTGCTGGATTAATAAAGTTACTCTATGTCTGAATTTTCAGAAATATCTACAGAAAACTGACCATCCACTTTTGAACGTCACGTGTCTGTCCGAGGGAAAACATGACAGACAGATCAGAATGGCTTTCAGCGCTTAGTTACTCGAGGACAAAGGCCGAGGCTAATCTAATCCATTCATAAATAGTTGATACCCAGAGATGACAGTTTTTTGAACTGAAAGAACCTTTAAATATGTTGTTTTGATGTCAGCAATAATCATAGTGTTATAGTTTTGATGTAGATTTTAGCAATACATAGTTTTCTATCCATGGATTTCTTTCCCAAAGATATAGTTATAATCCAGATTTAGCAATATATATAGTTTTTTTTATAAATGGATTTATGTTCTGAGGAAAATTAACACCAATTGTTGGAGAAATTCGTTTTTGTCACTCTTTATCACTAACCTTTTTCACTTAACATGCCTAATTTATATTTTTTCATATGTATACAATTATAAATGTTACTTATATTAGGGGTAAAACATATGGGTTTTGGAATTTATAATTATTTTTGGAACTCTTTTTCATACTTGTCATTTTTATTTCTAGTTTTATTGTGCTATTTTCTTGTGCAATAATGCTGCATATCGCAGGTCATCCTTATAATAAACATAATGATAATTGATGTATTTATATTTATTGAAGCAGTGCCAGCTGAAACTAGAAAAATGACATTTATACAAAGAGAGAGACCTGCTAAGGGCTGTTATATGAAAAATGACAACTGTACTTGAAAAAAGAAAAGTTTATAATAAAGTACAGCACATAAAAAAGATAACATTGAAAAATTATTCATAGTAATAATACAAAAAAACCCTGAAGGTTAGATATACGTATAAAACACACATGAACATATAAATAAACAAAATTATTAGACCATAAATTGCATTGGTGCCTGTGTTTCAAAGTTTGTAGCATCAAAACCTATGAATTTCCAACACTATACAGCCATTCTTTATGACAAATTAATTAAAGAAGGGCTTTTAAAATACTATACATAAATGGATATTTTTTTTAGGTTTTAATATATTTCGCAGCTAGGACAGTCCGCCAATTTTACAATCTCAAAATATTCCTTAAATATTAATTAAAATGCTCCATAGGTACATTATCTTATATTCTTGAACATGATGTTTCTTCAATTAAAATGGAGATTGGAATTTAAAATTGTTATCTACGAAGTTATCTTTTTAAAAATCATTTATAAAAAAAAGTAATGTTTGTGAAATACTGATGTCCATCATCAGGGTTAAATCTTTCAAAAGTAGGTCAAATTCCAGGGTTAAGGTTTCTCGGTTATAGTTTTTAAAATGTTATTAAACTCCAAGGTCATGAGGTCAAATATGTTGGTATGCAAAGAAAAGTCTTGTCACAAGAAAAACACTTAAAACAAGAGGCCCAAGAGTCTTAACGGTCACCTGAGTATAATACAACACTGTAAAGGATCCATGGAAGTATAAAAAGAAAATTAACTGATAGACGAAGTAATGTTGCCCAAGAATTTCAAAAATCTGGTAAAAATACCCTTGCTTATTGTAACGTCCTGGACCCAAGTGATCTCCTTGGGATCATACTTGGTTTTCCCAAGTCTTACAGGGATGATAATGAATGCAAAATATACAAATACAATGGACACTTGCTACAATTCAGTACACACAGACCTGGGTATACAACGTGGTTATTTGTCACTTGTCAATAATTAAAATAAGTCACCCTGGCTCTCTGTGATTCTTTGTTCACTTTGATAATGTATAAAACAACATCCAGTCTCTTGTCACCCATGACTCATTTACAGTGGCTGCAACGTTATTGTTGACAACTTACACGAACGTTCACGTTACACGAACGATTCTGCACGATTAACGCACGATAAAATCTGTTACCCGAACGATCCTTCACGCACACGATTTTACACGTTACATGATCTTACACGATTGGTAACGCAAACGCACGATTCTTCACGCAAAATAATTCAAATTCCTTTTGAATGGATATTTTCAAAACGAAATAAGGCTTAATACTTATTTTAGATTTCAAATAATTATTGATATTATTTATTTCATCGACTTTGAAAAATGAAAAAAAAAGATAGAAATGGATATTTCTGGAACTAAATACATGTAAGACTTATTAATTATTTTAGATTACAAATAATTATTTACGTAATTCTCCGACTTAAGAAAACTGATTTTTTTTCGTTCTGATCAGAAGATGTACATGTAGGTGGACTGTGAGTTTTGATTGAATTGGATTTCATAATATGCAGAAATTGATAAGTTTGAAGAAAAAAATGGCTTGAAAATAAATCAAATTATAAGTTATACCCATGTTTCCATTTGTGAATCTCTAAAATCAACAATTATTTTACAAATCATTTATTTTCAGAAATTATAAAAATAATTAAAAGTAAGCTCCAGAGATAAACACTGACAGATAAACGAAACTCCGACAATCATGCCGTGTACATGTACATTCGCCGACTAAATATTTATGTAAGCATTAAGAATTGTTTATTTATTTATTTGTAAAAATATCTAATTTTGATCTATTTATTTTAAAAATATCTTGACCATAATTTGCAGTAAACATAATTAACATTAGAGAAAAAATCCTTTAACATCTACATGTGTAAGTACGGTTTATCAAAAAGAAAAATCACGCTATTTGACGAGAACACAATATTGTACGACTTACTATATTGCTTATCTCCAAGTGATAATTAGTTCGTTCTGCTTTCAATTATATAAATCGCGCTTATTTATTTTATTTAGATTGAAAAAAAAAAACAAACAGACAAGAGAAATGCTTGTATAACAAATAACATTCCGATAAAAACTTACAAAACGAAATTTACACGTTTCTTGATTAAAACCGCAAACGATTGAGTCTGATACACGCACGATCTCACACGTTACACGAACGATCACGCAGTTACACGAACGGTTCTACACGATTAGTTTGTCAACAATAACGTTGCAGCCACTGTACCAGTGACACTAATTTAGATCACCACAGTGTAAACATACTGTGTACAATTACAAATTTTGCTAACTATATAAATTATCTTTATGTCAATCTTTAACATTGCTTTCAAGGCAAAAATCTGACTTTGAGCATACTATGCTCATTTAAACCAAACATTCATTTTTATTTTGTTTCTACATGTATATATATAACATTCTTTCATGTATTCTCATTCAATCAAATAACCTGTTAATTAAATTATATACAAGGATTTCTTGATTAACAATATTTAGCAAAGGGGAGTAACTCTCATTTGCTTCACATCACAATTGTGTACTCTGCCTCCTAGATACCCAGAAGCTAAGAAAAGGCACATTTACTTATAATTATATTTAATACATTTACATTGATATTATTGCATTTGGTTTGTTTGCTTAATACTCAGGGGCAGAGGAGAAGTTTTTCAAAGCAGTATGAGTAATTTATTTTCAGTATATAATAAATGAGCCCCCCCCCCCCTGGAACCCCTGACTCAGGGGCCATGAAATTCACAATTTGGAAGAGGCACTCTTGCTCATCATAACTATGTACTTAGTTCATCAGCTTAATACCCAGGAGCAGAGAAGATTTTCAAAGCATTAATCTATTTTCAGCATATAATAACCCCCCCCCCTTCTTCCACATGGAACCCCTGATCCAGGGGCCATGAAATTCACAATTTTGGAAGAGACACTCTTGCTCATCATAACTATGCACTTAGTTCATCAGCTAAATGCCCAGGAGCAGAGGAGAAAACTTACAAAGAATTAATGCATTTTCACTATATCATCATTAGAGCCCCGCCCTAACACCAGAACCTCTGACCTTGGGGCCATGAAATTCACAATTTTGAAAGAGACACTCTTCCTCATCATAACATTGTACTAAGTTCCTTAATACCCAGGAGCAGAGGAGAAGATTTTCAAAGAATTATTGCATTTTCACTATATAATCATAAGAGCCCCGCCTTTACACCAGAACCTCTGACCCAGGGGCCATAAATTTCACAATTTTGGAAGAGACACTCTTCTTCATCATAACTATGTACTTAATTCATCGGCTTAATACCCAGGAGCAGAGGAGAAGACTTTCAAAGAATTAATGCATTTTCACTATATAATCATTAGAGCCCCACCCTAACACCAGAACCCCTGACCCAGGGGCCATGAAATTCACAATTTTGGAAGAGGCACTCCTGTTCATCATAACATTGTACTTAGTTCATCAGCTAAATACCTAGGAGCAGAGGAGAAGATTTTTAAAGAATTAATGCATTTTCACTATATAATCATCAGAGCCCCACCCTAGCGCCAGAACCCCCGACCCTGGGGCCATGAATTTCACAATTTTTTTTTTTTTAATATTTATTTCAGCTTTCACATTTATATCAAATAAGCATATATCTTCACTCATGTGCATATTAAGAATTACCATATACAGAGTACATTTACATACCTAGATATACATTTACACACATACACTTATGTGCAAGTTGGTTTAATAAGGAAGAAGAAAAAGAA